ACTGCCTCTTGCTGGGACCACTTGCAAGTCAACTTGCCACCAAGAGGCTAAGTGGTCTCCTCAAGGAAAGAGGACTCAGCGTCTATCTCTGTTGCTAGCAGGCTAAATATTCAGTAGTGGATACAACCAGAGTGGTCTTAGTATACCATCCCACTGGCTCCATTCATAGTCCCTGATCCTGCCACAGTAGATATTCCAATGCAAAATACTGGCTGCCATTAACTGGTCAAGTCATTTGATCATCTTGCTTGCACAGGGCTTTTTCTTCATTGTGGATACTCTATGATATTGGTCAAATGCTAAATAAAGATCCTCATACTTTGTGCCCACTCTCCTGTATCCATCTACACATCTTTATCTCAGCTCTCTTTGTTCCCAGGCTTTCAGTCTCTTTCCAGGTCACTGACCTGCTGGCCAAGCCAGATGCCACTGGCCATGCACATTCTAGCTTGGGTGACATGGTATTGGCTTCATGGCCACTTGGTATCAGGTGCCACATTTCTGCTAGAGCCCAGTAGTATATCAGGAGCTGTTTGCTGAAAGATGCTCTCTACTACAGATGGCATGGTCTTGATCTAGAATCTGGAGTCTGCATTGTGATTTTTCCATTGGGAATTGTCATTAATCCCACATAGCATCTTCTCCTATATATCTAATAAAAGAACTGCTGGATTGTTTGGCATAAGTGGTAAAACTACAGCCTAGACCTGCTGCAGGGTCCTTTTCTGCTCTAGAGGCCACTCAAAATTGGTAGCCTCTTGTACCATCCCACTTGTGGGTCAGAATAAGTACTCCCTGGTATGGAATATGCTATCTCTAGAACCCAAAGCAGCCCATCACAATCTATGTTTCCTCCATTGTGGTAAGAAGTACAAAATACAATAAATTGTTGCTTTACTTTGGAGAGGCTATTCTGGCATGCTCAAGACTACTAGACTCACCAAGGAGCCACCACTGATAGTCCCTTTGAATCTTTGTGGCGCTTATACTCTCAACCTTCAAGAGTATGTGCTCTAGGTCTATTGTACTAGCCATTTCTTGCTCTTTAGGTCTAATTAACATGATGTAACTGATACAGTGGGTCAGTGATGTTCTTTAGCATACTCAGTAAGTTTCGGTCCTTCACGTATGATATAAGGTGGGAGAGTTAACATGGTTTTAAGAAAAAAACTACAAATGTTCACTTTTGGAGCTCTGTGGTGGTACAGCAGTGGTGCAGCTAGACCCACACAGGAGGGTCATCAATTTGTGTCCCAGGACCTTCCTCTGCATACCAGACAAGTGATCTGGAGTGGCTGAGACTGAGGGTGATCACAGTAAGGGGGATCTGTTGACAGTGCCTGTTTTTCTCTCTCTTATGGAATAAGTAGATAAACTAAGGGGAAAAAATGTTCACTGCTGTCTGATCCAAGATAATGTGAATTATTTTTGATCCTCTTTTCTAATAAAGATGAAAATGAATATCATTATCAGATTAATAGTTACACACTACATACCTGATGCCCTGTTAATATGCTCAAGCAGGGATGTCCATAGCTGGCACCACAGCTACAACTGGGGCGACTATCTCATGGAGTTTGGTAGTCCACCGATTTTTCTACAGGCTAAATTGGTTAATAATGTGAACAAATGTTTATGAATACTTCAGTTTTTTCAAGATGGCATTGGTTTCTGCCATTTCCTGGAATTCAATGGTTTTTATTTACTATTTTGATACGGGGGAGGGGTCAGTTCCAAAGCTTTCTCCTAGACTTTATCACTATGATAGCCCTTACCAGCCAGGCCATGAAACCAATATGAGTTGTGCCACTTTCAAGATACATTTGGCATACTTGTATTGTAATTTACACACTCAAGGACTAGATGGATTTGTAGGTTTATTGTGAACTGGACTGGGGTCAGTCATTACTTGGCCTTCACAGGCCTTGCTTTAAATCAAGGACACATGATGATATTTTAGGTCTGAGGGTATCAGCCTTAACTCAGACTCTATGTCCCACAGACATCACAATGTTAAATATTGGACTGACCCTGTAGTGTAGTGGTTAAGTTCTGTGCATGAGGAGATGGATTTACACGGCCAACCACATGTAAACCACATGAATCCTGGCCCCAGTGGCTGGAAAAACATGCTGGGTACTTGTGCATGTGTGCCCTGAAATCCTGATGGGATGGAGCGATGGAGAAAAACGGATTGTGGCATGACAATATTCCACTGGGGAGTTCCATTTCTCTTTGTTGTATTCCCTTGGTAAGAAAACAAAACGAAACAGAACAAAACAAAAAAAACCTGGGTGTTCCCCTTTCACCAATTGTACACTTTTAGTGGCTAAAGGTCCGTTTGAGTAAGGATTAGGGAAATCATTATTGTATGTACTTGCAATGTTGCACAATCCTTCTTTATGCGGACCCAAACTCTCCTTCAGTTAATGGGTCTGAGTCTAACAACTGACCCAGGTCTTAAAATTGGGCCAGGGATCATTTTCTTTTTATTGGGATGCTTGCCCTGAGCCTCCTGATAATTTATCTCGACTAACTTTCCTTGTACTGATTAAGCAATAACACTGCTGGCTGACCATCTGCTTTGCCATGCTCTGTTGACCATCTTTATTTTTCTGGCTGGTATATTGGACTGTCCACTTACTACAATAGATAGCATCCACCTGGCTTTTGACAGTCACTAGTGCCATGTATGCTCTATTTTTCTTCAGTCCCATATGTCCATGGCTATCAGTGAACCCATATCTGCAAGAAGATCACCTTTATTCCTGGAATACAAAGAAGCACCATTGAACCTAGTAATTCCTGGGACCTCTCTGGTGAGCACATTTCTTATTGTTTTGGTAAATGGAGTTATCTTCTGGGCTTCCTGTAGAACGCAGTCATTTGATGGGTCTTCCAGCCTAAAAATAGGATATTCACAAAGCATGCCCAAACAATTCTGTAATTTCCCTCTCACTTTGTATGGGCTGTTTTCCCATGCTTCTGGGAACCATCCTAACTGTATGACAGCATCACCACTTGGATCCTTGCCAGGTTAAGTCCAATATCCTGAGTGTATTCCCAAATTGATAAACTCTTTTATAACTTTATATCTCTGGATGGGTTGTGACTTATCTTCTTACTGGTTTAGTTGCCATGAGAGGAAGTAGGCACAACCGTGAGGAATGCCTATGTTGTCCTGGGGGAGCGATCTCTTTATATCTTCAAAAAAGAGGGCAGACTAGCTCTTATTAGAGAAAAGTAGGACACTCTAATCTTAGAAAATTCAGGAAACCTGAGGCTTCAAGATTTTAAGGTGCATCAGTTCAGATAGTCCCCCTGACCTGCCTAGGTTGGGTTTTAACTTCTTTGAATTTATATTATTTTCATGATTAAGTCCCAGACTATGTCCTCAGCTTTCTCTGTCCCAAATGGCTTCATATTATTCCCCTTACATGCCTGGGCAGGCCTTCTGACTGACTTCTACACTTAGCTTTTTGCTATAAGGTGTGTGCACTCACCAGAGAAACAGAGAGGGAAAGTGATAAATCATCCCCTGGAGAGAATGACCACACCACAATCCCTTCCCCTCCATTCTCTCCTCAGGATTTTGGGCATGCACACACATGTGCCTGGCATGATTTTCAAGCCACCAGATCTGGGATTCAAACCACGTTTGGCCATGTTAGGACTCAAACTGCAGTTTGCCATGTGGGAGTCTAGCGCTCTGATCATGCTTTGGCCCCCATACTTAGCTTTAATTATCAATTAGTCACTCTTGGTCTTTTGTTATCTTTCTTCAAGTTATCACTGGAGCTTAGCAATGTCCCATCAATTCCACTGTCTTCCATATTTCTCAATCACCTGATTGTGCCCAACAATACATTTGCTTCCACTGGAATGCAATCCCAGTTCTCTACTGGTTAAAGTTTTAAAAATGGCACTCTCAGTGTGCTAGGTAATCTACTACCAATGAATGCAAGGTGGTGATGGTAGCGAATCTCATCCTATAAACCAAGAGGGCAGAAAAACCAGCTCTGATCTGCTTTCTTGCAACGTCTGTTGCCACTGTCAAGCTCCCTGGAAAACAGACCCTGACGGAGGTCAGCTATTAGGGTTATTAGGGATTGCCATCTATGTAACGAAAGGAAGCCCCATTGGGTAGAGGAAGAATATAGGATAGGATATGAAGCAATCTCAAGGCAGCCGCTATGGGCTATACAGCAACTCTGACACTGGGACAGGCTTTCATACTGTCCCAATATATTGTCTTTGAATATAGGATGTCCCAGAAAGGGTGAGCAGATGTAGTGGCTTTTTAGGACCTCAAATAAGTTAAATGAACTGGTTCTCTCTTATTATGGTATTCTCAAAGGATTTCAATCAGATATGATTAAAAAAAAACATATAGAACAGTACCTGTCATATACTTCCTTCTAGATGAATACTTGAGATGTCAAAACCGACTTTCATTCATAGCTTGCATCCCCTGTGAGGCTTTTCCTGAACGCTAGACAGGCATCAGACTTGCATTTAGTTCTCAAACCTAGTACTAGCTGGTGCTGACGAACAGAAGACTTGAAGTGCTACGAGATGATATATGGAAATATAAGAGGTTAAATTAAAATTTGTGAGACTTATTTCCTAACTTTTTAATCACTCATTGCTTTGTTTGGAACATACTTCTAACTAAATTGAGTGAACTGGAAAGATCTGATTTGGGGTGAGGAGGGCAAGTAATACTTCTAATGTTTTTTGAACTAATATATCTATAAATGATTGTGCCAAAGAAACACAATGTTGCATATGCTTAGCAAAAATAAGGAAATGATCATGCATATACTTAAAATTTTTGCTTAGATCATCATAGGCTTTTTTTTTTTTTAACTTTTGCCTTCCCAAAGTAAATGAGAGATACATAAAGAACATAACATCCACATTAAAATGTTACTCACAAGAAAAACAGGACTAAAAACAGGGCCACAGTCAAGTCAATTCTTTGATAAAATGAGCAGAACTCCATTATAACAACAGCTCTTTATTACATGGATCCAAATACACTGCAGACCAGTCATGTTCCCTGAAATTCAAAAATCACATCAAGAAAAGCCTGCTAGTACTGTCTCTCAACACTAATTCTAAAGGGCTTCTTTTGAATTCCTTTTATAAATCCTTACTCAAAGAAGAGTTTAAGCACCAGTAAGAAAGACTGTTGCTAGCTGTTTTATTTCATCATCGTCATCAACAAACATGCAGTTCCTTCCCTCATGTGTACAGTGCTGTAAAATGGGTGTTACTGTCCATCCTGTGGTACAAAGTTTATAAATACAATATACCAATACAAAGTTGAAGCCATTAAAAAGAGCTTAATAACAACTACCATGAGATAATTAAATCTGGAGTGTTGATGGAAACTGTGAGAGATTTAGAAACAACACACAAACTCAAACATTACTATGAATGTTTTACTTGGAAAGGGGCTAGACGGAAACTTCTTAAGTGCTACTGAAGGACTTTCTAAGTTGCTCCACGTTTACTTTCTTTCGGCTATGATCTTTAAATACTGCAAAGCATTGTGAGCTGCATCGCTTTGTGCATTGCCACAGGAGATACCCGAGCCATGACAGACTGTGATGGGACTGGTTGACAGTTCAGCAAGACATTGATACTGTCCGTTGGCACTCAATTCTTCTGTAATGACACATTTAAACATGATGATTAATGCTAAGTGCATACAAAGTAGATCATATGTAAAAACAACAACTTTTATTACTGCCTTTAAGTATCCACAGTGTACTACTCCACTTACTCATCATCTTGGTCACATTTGTGCAAATCAAATCAAACAAACAAACACCACCTCAGCTGTAGCTATAGTTCTCAAAACATACTGTGCTTCATACTCACCTCAGGAAACTTTAAAGAAATACAGATGTCTAGTCCTTGCTTTAGCCCAGTCATTAGAAATGAGGGTTGGAGGTTGAAGGTGGGTGATGCCTACATTTAATAAAACCCCCAAAGCAATTCCAATGTTGTTAGTTGGACAGTGTTTACAAATGACTGAACCTCAGCAACTTTCTTAAAAGGGCAAGGACCACTTGCTAGAGGACTGGAGAGATTCTATTTCCCACTGGGAAATAATTTGCAGTAGACATCTGAACCAGGAAATAACCTAATTCAGAGCAAGAGCTCCATGGTGCCTTCGTGTTCTTTGGTTATAACTTTGTGCAGTCTAGTTCTCTATGAGGGGACTTCAAAAGGTCTGCAGGAAAATGGAATTAAAAGATAAAAATAAAAACATGAACTTAATTTTCAACACAAGCTCCATCAAGTTCAAGACATTTCTGTAAGATACCATTTAATTTATCTCCAAAGAACGAAAGGTCCTAGGAGTTAAACTATGTCAATGCAGACTTAAGGTTAAGAAATAAAAAGAAATCAGGAGTCAAATCTGGACTATAAGGTGGATGCCTAATGATTTCCCACAGAAACCCTAAAAAAATTGTTCTTGGTTAATGAGAAGAATGAGCAGAGGCCTTGTCATTGTGGCAAAGGACTCTGGTGAAGTCTGCCACAAATTTTTCTGCTAACGCTTCAGCTAAATTTCTCTAAAACACTCTCATCTCTCATAATAAGCAGGTCTTACTATTCTTCAGGCCTCCAAAAAGTGAAAATGCAAAATGCCTTGAGCATCTCAAAACACTGTTGCCATGACCTTTGTCTTGGACTAGTCTGCTTTTGCTCTGACCGCACCACTTCTGCCTCTTGGTAGCCACTGTTTCCATCATACTTTGTCTTCAGGATTGTAATGGTAATGCCATGTGTCGTCTCCTGTTACAGCTCTTGGGAGAAATGCTTCAGAATTTTTATCTCACTTGTTTAAAATTTCCATCAAAGGCCTTCGCTGTCTGTAGCTGATCTGAGCACAACACTTGACACTCATAGAGCAGAAAGTTTGCTCAACTTAATTTTTCAGTCAGAATTGTGTCAGCCAAAAACCAATCACAATGTCTATGGTGCTGGCTACTGTCTCTGCTGTGAATCGTTGGTCATCTTCAATTAGGACACAAACAAGATTAATCTTTTCCTTGCAAACTTACACAGATGATCTGCTGTTGCACTTGTTATCTTCAACACTGTCTTGTCCATTATTAAAACATATTATCTATTTGTATACTGATGATTTCTTTGAGACACTGTCCCCATACATTTTTCATAAAGCATCAATATTTAGCCATTCTTCCACTCAAAATTCACCATGAATTTGATGTTGGTTTTTGCTTCAATTTTAGCAGAACTGATGTTTTTCTGATAGAGGCTCTTTACAAACTGAGGTCTTACCCGTCTTAGTGCCTCAAACTAGATTACCATCGGATAAGTTGTAACAGGTCAGTATGAGTTCATTTTGGTGCAAAAAACAATGTTTTTTAATCCAGTATAATTTTTCATAGTATGCATTTTCCAAAAACTTTTGAAGAACCCCTCATGTTTATATTGTATATGGGTTATGGTTTTAAAACAATACCTGAACTCAGAAAGAAGTGTCTTTCTCATTAACTGATAAGTCACTCTTACTATGAGACTACTGAAATGAAGCAAAGGGAAAAGCTGAAACAGGAGGGGTATGGTTTATTTATAATGGTCAGAGTGGAAAATATCCAGATACAATGGATTAGCGAGTGGGTGAAGAAACTTTCTATTTCTACCATCTAGATTTTTTTTCTTTTTAATTGAGGTAAAATTTTACCTAATATAAAATCAGCCAATTTAAAAAAATTGTCAACGGGCATGTACACTTGGCAAGAGACAGAGAGAGGGAAAGTGAAAAACACCGCTCGTGGGGAATGATAATCTCTCAATTGCTTCTCCTCCATTTCTTCCTCCTTTTGAGATTGTGGGCACGCACAAACACATGACCAGTGTGTTTTTCAAGACTCCAGATGGGGGTTTGAACTATGCAAAATTGGCCATATGGGCTCTAGCTGCTTTGACCACCATACTACCAACTGGCCCCCCCAAAATTAACCATTTTAAAGTGAAAAATTGACTGGCATTTAGCACATTCACAATTTGTACAACCACTACCTTTATCTAGTTTCAAAACATCTTCATTATCCCAAGAGGAAATCCCACATCCACTAAGCAGTTCCTTTCCATTCTCCCCTTCCCCAGACCCTAGTAATCACCAACTTTATGTTCTGTCTTTGTGGATTAAACTATTCTAGTTATCTCATATAAGAGGAATTTAGGGGGCCAGCAGGTAGCGTGGTGGTTAAGGGTGCTGGACTCCCATATGGCCAACCATAGTTTAAGTCCCAGACCTGGTGGCTTGCTTTCTTACTTTTCCTCTCTCTTTCTTATTCTGTCCTTCCCTGGTCAAATTAAAATACATAAATAAAGTTAAATAAAATAATTCTTTATAAACAGAAGAATTTAATAATATGTAATCATTTTTGCCTGGCTTCTTTCAGGTAGCATGTTTTGAGGTTCATCCATGCTGCTGCATGTATGAGAACTTCATTCCTTTTTATGTCTAAATAATAATCCATTGTATTTATACTCCACAACTGATCCATTCCTTAGCTAATGGACATTTGGGGTGTTTTGCCTCTTGTGAATAGTGATACTATGGACATGTGCATACAAATATTTGCTGAATACCAGTTTTCAGTTATTTTCATCATGTATCTTGGTCAAATGGTAAAAGTCACTTGAGAAACCAAAAAACTCTTCCCCTGTGGCTAACCCAGTTAATATCCCCATTAGCAACGTATGAGGTTCCAGTTTGTGTGCATTTTTGCCAACACTAGCAATTTTCCATTTTCTTGAGTACAATCATCCTAGCAGGTGTGAAGTGGTACCTCATTATGGTTTTGATTTGCATTTCCCTACTGATTGAAGATGTTTTCTCATGCTTGTTGGTCATTTACATTAGAAATGTCTTTCCATCTGCCAAGCTACCCATTAGGGCTAGTTTGACAAAAAGGCCCTAGCTTTATCTGCTGGGATTCTTTCTAATCACATCTACCACTGACTAGATATGTGATCTTAGGCTAGTTTCACAACCTTTTTGTGCCTTACTTTCTTTACTTATAAATAAGGATAACAGGACTTCATAGAACTAGTGTGAGGATTCAGTTAGTAGGTAAATGTCATATCCTTAGAACAGTACTCAACACATAGTAAAACTCTACAAACCTTAGCTATTGTTGTTTTTAAAATTATTACAACTCTATAGATGTTACTATTACTACTATCCACAAGAATGGGATGTATCTATTATGGTAATTATAAATAGTTAGAATTCCCAATCAATGTATCAAATTATAGCAGAAATTTTTGTTTCTCAAATAAAAATAATCATACCTATATCCAAATATGTTATATTAAAACCTTGCTCCTTGGCAATTTCACTAAGCAGCTGGATATAATCTGTATTTGGAATACTAAGGAGGCTTCTTTTCAGTAAGTTGATCTTTTCACCAGAAGAATTCCTCAAGGAATGCCAAGTACATCCTAAAGAATGCCCTACTACATTTGTCTGGAAAACAGAAAGGAACATTTAGACTCTTAAATGGGTTCTAACACCAATATCAACATAACTAAAAATAATTGCTAAACACTACTATTTAATACTTTATAAAGCATGTTCAAATGGATACCACTCGTTTAACTTTCCAATTTAAACTAGACAACACTAACAAGTATATACGCTTAGCAAATATCATGACATTAAAAAAAGATGCACTTATAATAATGTATTAGGAGTATTTATAAATCTTTTGTACAGCACAAAGGCTTCTCAGATGGTCACATTAGGAGGTGAAAGGTGTATGAGAGCACCATAAGCAAATTACTGAATAATTGAATTTGCATAATGGAGCAATTTACAATTAAAATATGAAATAATTTTCAATGGAACAGTTTTTCCATTTTAAATATATAGTCACTATATATAATATTGTAAGTCAGTATAATGGAGCTGTAAAGCAGGGGGGATAAAAAGGTAATATGTGCAAGTTAAGTTTACAAACAAGTCTTTCAAATGAGTGGCAGGATGTCAAAAAAATTCTTATCAGACTATATCTCAGAACCCAAATGAGCTTTTTTTCTTGTTTTCTTTTTCCTTTTCCTCTTTCTTATTCACCCCTATATCCTGCCTATTCTGTCTCTGTTCCTAAAATGTTTTACATTTCCATGTTAAGTGTATGGTTCTCAAATTTCATTAACATATGCCATTAATGAAAACAACTACTCTCTGAAATAAGTAGGGCAGTCATCCTCAGTCTTATTGTCTACAATATACCAAGTAGATAAAAGAGGCTGTCTAAAAGATCCTAAGGATGGCCATGATAGAGAATTGTAAGTTGTTAAATTTACTGAATAAATATTTACATTTATTGAACTTCGAAAAAATATTTAAATCAAAGTTCATTCACATGGGGAAAAAATACACACATTAGGACATATAATGAAGGCTTTCTTCCTTACCATCCCTTCCCTGAAGACTTCTGCTCTACTCTCCAGAGACACTTACTAAACATTTCTTTAGTATCCTTCCATAAATGTTCTGTGGCACACACATGCACATAACTCTTTTGAACAAAAAACAACAGCTTGCACTTCCTTATCATCTTCACTTTTTCCCATCAGCACACCTATATGCCCTACGTATTTATCTTGTCCTCCAACTAAGAGCTTTAGACCATTTCTGGTTTCTTGCTTTTAATGATGTTGTATAAATACTCTTTTGCATTTGGATGAGTTTCTCTGTAGAATTCTAGAAGGGGAACTGCTAAAACATGTATGCTTTTAATTTTGTTAAGTTCTTTTCTTTTTTTAAAGAGAGATTTTTGCTATAGGCTGCGTGCCCTCACTGGAGACAGAGAGAGAAAGCAAGAAATTACACACCATGGGAATGGTCACACTGCAATTCCTTCTCCATTCTCCTTTTGGGATCTTGGGCATGCATTCCTGTCACTGTTAAGTATTTCTAAACGGATTTTCATTCCCATTGCCATTTAGATGGTGCTTTGTTTTTTCATATTCTTTTTTTTTTTAGAGAGATTTTTGCTATAGGGCACGTGTGTTTGCCAGAGAGACAGAAAATGGAAATCACTCCCCACCCCTGGTAGATGACCACGCCGCAATTCCTTCTCTTCCATTCTCCTCTTGGGATTCTGGGCATGCATACACATGCTCCCAGCATGAGTTTCCAGCTGCTGGGTCTGGGATTCGAACCGCAGTCTGCCATGTTGGAGTCCAGCGACATAACCATTAATACCATTTGCTGGCTCCTCTCATAGTCCTTCTAATACTAGGTATTGTTAAGCTTTGTGGTTTTCTGCCTCCCCGAAAGGTGAAAATATATTATCTTGCGTGAATGAGGCTGAACACTTTTTTTCTTTAATCATTTGTATTTCTTGTACTGTGTTTTTCATTGATGTGTAAGAGTTTAATATGCAGTGTTGAAAGTTTCTGTATAGTTACATGTTAAAAGTATTCCCGTTTTGTTTTTATTTTGTTGATTTTATTTACAGATTGATTTGCTACGTAGGTTTTACGTAGGCACATTTAAGAAACTTGTACTTTAGGGGCTGGCAGGTGGCATGGTGGTTAAGGGGGCTAGAATCCCACATGACCAACTGTGGTTTGAGTTCCAGACCTGGCAACTTGCTTTCTCACTTTCTCTCTCTCTCGTCAAAATTAAAATAAATAAATGAAGTTAAATAATTCTTAAAAAAAAAAAAAAAAAAAGGACACTTGCACACTGACCTTCTAGGTTTTACGTTATGCTTAATAAGCCTGTCCGCAAGTTAATACTTTTAAATCGGAAAGCTCTGGGGCCAGCAGGTGGCATGATGGTTGAGGCACTGGATTACCACATGGCTGACCACAGTTCGAATCCTGTACCTGGTGGCTTGCTTTCTCACTCTCCTTCCCCTTCTCTCTCTCTCTCTCTCTCTAGTCAAAACTGAAAAATGATAACAAATAATTTTTTTAAAAAAAGGAAAGCTCTTCCATGTTTTTAAAACATTGTTTTAATCCTTATGCTCAAATCTTTGATCCCTCTGAAACTTATTTTGGTGTAAGGACTAAGTATCAACCTAAAACACATCATACACACACACACACACACACACACACACACGCAAATATATTTACACATACACCCTCTCAAATGTGACTGTAAGGTATTTCCACGTCATTATATAATAATTCATCCTCTCACTCACTGAATTGTACTATGACCATTGCCACCTACTATGTTTATATATGAATCAGCATCTACACCTGATGATCTTTTCTATCTTCTGTCTATTCCTATACCAGTCACCTGTTATAATGGCTATAGTTTTATATGTTTTATTCTCTGGTAGGACATCATCCCACCCTGGGTCCCCTACTCTTCCTTTCCATTTTTCTCAGCTATTTTTAATTGGAGGGTTTGTTTTTCCAGATAAAGTTAGTAAAATTTTTATTAAGATCCAAAATGAATTCTGGTAGATTTTGACTGAGATTTCATTACATTTTTATACACTTACAGTACTGATTCTCTTTACTGTTCTTCTCAGATTAAAATTCTTTAAGGCCTTTGTAATGCTCTCAGGAAAAAGTTCAATCTCAGTAACAGTCTTTTTTAAGATTTAATCCTTCTTGACCCTTCTGGCCTCATTGTTCGACGTTTCTTCTCTGGATACCATGAGCTAGACACACCAAACTACTTAGGGTCCCTAGGATGCATATGATATTTTCACTCCTGGGGCTTTGCATATACTCTCTTTTCTCACCAGAAGTCTTTCTCTTATTCTTGTCCTGTACGTGTCACCTTAAATATTACTTACTCCTGGAATCCTTCCTGAATCCTCTACCCTCGGTTAGATGCCTTCTCCTATGTTATCACATCACCCTCTGTAAGAACCTGTCTGTAGAGTTCTGTTTTCTCTTTCAGTAGGGACAGAGTTTATAAGTCTGCTTATTCATCGTGTATACAAATACTAGTATAAACTGACTAAATGTTTATTGAGCGAAGAAATAAATGAACAAAAAAGGGATGGAAATGTATTGTCACTTTGAAGCAAAAATGGCACTACAGGCTTACTACTTTTAGGTTCCATTCTATTGTTCTGAATTTGTTTCTCCCAATCGTTCGCTCGCTCTCTCTCTCTCTCTCTCTTTCTTTTCTTTTTCTAAGGTTTTTGCCATAGGGCACATGTGCTTGCTGGAGACAAACAGAGAGAGACAGTGAGAGGGAAAGTGAGAAATCACTGCCCCTGCCCCTCCAGGAGGGATGGTCATACCGCAATCTCTTCTCCATTTCTCCTCCTGGGATTTTTGGGCATGCAGAACAAGTGGACACCATGACTGTCAAGACATCAGGTCTGGGACTCGAATTGCAGTCAGCCATATGGGACTCCAGTTCTTAAACTATGACACCATCTGCTTTCCCCTCCCAATCTCTCTTACCTGTCAGTTCTGTGGCCCTGGGTTACATGCAGCAAACAGTTAAACTTGGCATAGTGTAAAATGAAGAGTTTTTTTTAAAAAAACTACAACTCTGAAGTGTCCATATGATAAGAAATCAAGCAAAGTTTGTTACAAAAGATGCTTAATCATATTAACATCATACTTGTCTAATTATTACTCACTAAAGAAATGTGGTTCTCTGGAGATAAATTACTAAATTTGGCAAGAAATTTCTCAGCAGCATTTCTCTTGGCTTGTTTTTTGGATGCCCCTTTTCCTAAATGAAAAAAAAAGAAATGACAGATTTCAAAAAGAAAGTAGTGTCCATAGAAGATGATCAAACACAGAGGTTGATCAAATGTATAAAGTGCCATGTTTAATAAAAGAACAATCTCATAGTTTCTACATACTAAACTATTTTCTTTCTTTTCTAAGAATGATTTTAGTTAACTTTATTTAGTTATTTATTTAAATTTTACCAGAGAGGGAGAGGGTGGGTGAAAAAGTGAGAAAGCAAGCCACCAGGTCTGGGACTTGAACTGTGCTTGGTCATGTGGGAGTCCAGAATCCTTAACTACCATGCCACCTGCTGGCCCCTATATTAAAATTAAACTATTTTCTAACTGACCTAATATCTTTGTTTGAGGGCTTCATATAGCTATTATATCTTACATTTTTAAAGGCATTTCTTTTCCTTAACAGTTTTCTTCTAATAGTCATACTTTGTTAATCCTGATCAATTGTTCAAATTTATCAAAATACATTTGAATTCCAATATCTATCTCTCAATATCTATTTCCTGTTTATAATGTTTTTTATAATTATTTTTAACTTTATTTATTTATTTATTTTAATTTGACCAGAAAGGGACAGAGAGCGAGAGAAAGAAAGAGAGAAAGCAAGCCACCAGGTTTGGGACTCAGACCGTGGTCAGCCATGTGGGAGTCTGGAGCACTTAACCACCATATCACCTGCCAGCCCCTTGCTATAAACTGACAAATGTATGGAATTCCATTCTTAACAGGAATAAGAAGGACACAGGAGATGTGGAATTGAAAGCCACCATGACTACCTAATTCCATGCTTTTGTTTTGTAGATTTAAAAACGGAGGCCCAGGGAGATTAAGTAACTTGCTTCACAAGGTCTGCACCAAGGAAGGAAGCTGAGGTCACTGCTTTTTGGCCCACACTCCTCCCATGGGCAAACATTTGCCTGTTGCTTGAAAACAGTATCTAGCTAAAGTAAAAATCCTACTTTAGCCCCTTCAAAAATGACAAAATATGCCAGAAAAATTAACATAGGAATTCTCACTAGTACCTTCTAAAGCAACCACTTTTTCTCATAGTTTGTCATTTATAACATAGAAGTCACAATAACTTAAAAAATATTTTCTACTTTATTTTTATCTCACTGTAAATTTTTTTGGCATCTAGTCTCATTAATCATCTCATTTTGAAATGTAATCTTCCTCTAGCTCTACCTTCTAGAAGAGTTGTTGAAGCTCCAAAAGATTTACTATCGCCTTTTCTTCACAGTGAATTTCTTTTAAGTCACTGATACGTCAATGAAAACTGCTGAAAGTATAGAGCCAATACACTGTATTTCCATTAACAAACCATGCTTTAGAAAAATACAAAATTAAGAAGTGTGTAAGTATTCTTCAGCTAAGTATTTACTTAAGTTTAACCTCAGAAAGTTAGACAGTAGAACGTATACTATTTTTCTCTCCAGAGAAATATGTGAAAAGATATTACAACAGAAGTTTCTATGGTCATTCATTAACTGAAGCATTTAGGATGCCTTTAACAGAAATAAGTACCAGTTTCCACAAAGGACTCCAGCCTGCAGATTGTGGTATATTCTCTCTTATGAGCAGGTCCTCCCTCCTGGGATTATTCAGGAAGTCTCCAGCCATGATGAATAGCCAGTTCCTATAAAATTAAAATGAAACTTGAATACTGACTTTAACTTGGCAATGGTTCAGTCACATAAATTATGTTCTTTCTTGATTTGATCCCATTTCTATGTTTAAAAGAATAATGTTATTCTGCAATGGAAAAATGAGGGGAGACTGCATTCTCTATAGATATTCTCATGTATCTGTATGTCAAAATACCAAAACTGAAGCAGTTTTGTGCTATGAATGGCATTCTTTCCTTAAGCCACAGGAAACTGACATCAAGTTCAACTGCAAGGACAGGCTACTACCACCCTCTCTGGGTATGTGAGGTTAAACGAGACACCAATAGGTCTCATTGCTATCAGTGCCTAAAGTCTTTTTCCCACTAGCTACAGACTTCTGCATTTGATGAAGAACAGAAATAGCAAATGGGGGGGGAAGGAGACCAGTAGGTGGCATGGTGGTTAAGGTGCTGGACACTCCCACATGGCCAACCATGGTTTGAGTCCTGGACCTAGTGGCTTGCTTTCTCACTTTCTCTCTCTCTCTCTCTGGTCAAATTAAAATAAACAAATGGATAAATTAAATATAATAATTTTTAAAAATATAGCAAATGGGGACATATCTGGAAAAGGCTGAGGACAGAAGATGAAGGAAACTATAAAAAAAATTCAGAGCAGAAAATACATCTAAGCACTGGTTGGACACTGGGAAGGGGAGTGGTCCAACAGAACACATGAATAATCTGCAAGAAGGATAGTCAACATGCAGAAATTCAAAGTTGAAAAAAATCCATCTAGATAAGCAAATAAGCAACTGCTTGCCTTTCCTTGTGTTAGTTACCCAATGTGGGCTCTTTATAGTCTTCTGTCTCAACTGAAGTAGAAAGAGATTTATCACAAGAGTTAGAAGTATTTTTTAAAGAAGATTTTTACTTTATTTTTAAGGCTGATTTCATTTAACTTTATTTATTATTATTATTTTTTTTTAAATTTGATCAGAGAAAGTGAGAAAGCAAGCCACTAGGCCCAGTATTTGAACCATGGTCAGACATATGGGAGTCCAGTGCCTTTAACCACCACACCACTTGCTGGCTCTAGTAAGAAGTATTTTTAAGGTATAGAATGTTCTACCCACATGTACTGAGGTTCTGTTGGTTTCAAATTAAAATTCCGTAAACCAAAAGCAATGAGTAGGAAAAAAATTTCAAGTAATCTCTGTAATATCTATTGATTACAATTTGAAAACAAAGTATTCTACTATCTTTTTTTTTTTTTTTAAGAGAGATTTTTTGCAATAAGGTGCATGTGTTCACTTGAGAGAAAGAGACAGAAAGTAAGAAATCACCCCCCAGGGGGGGATGGCCACACTGCAATCCCTTCTCTTCCATTCTCTGCTTGGAATTTTGGGTATGCACACACACAATACGCCTGGCTTGAGTTTTGACTGCTGGGTCCAGGACTCGAACCATGGATGGCTACATGGGAGTCTAAGTGACATAACCATTATGCCATCTGCTGGTTCCCAATATTCTGCTAGAGTATCTTTAAAATATGAATTCCTTGTGTCAGCCCATGATATCAACTTATAATTTCTTTTGTCAGTAGATAAAATACTAAGCATGGAAATCTGTGACTTACCTGTAATGAACCAATAGGATTAAGCTGGTTCTTTGGTTGCTTGGAAGGGTCAGGCATTGAGGGATCAGGAACTGCAAAACTAAACATTTTTTAAAAGTGTTATAAAGCAAAATAATTTGCCTGAAATTACTGAATAGATGGCAAGTACTTTCTATCTACTCCTCTAAGCCTTTGCTGCTGCCATTCCTTTACATGGAACACCCTTCTCTCCAAACTTTTCTATGGGAATCTATTCTATCAGTCATCTGAGGAGTAGCTCAAATGTCACGTCCTCTAAGAAGCCTATCCTTTTATCCCCATGGATCACAATCTCTTATTCCTTTGAGCCATTAAAATATTTGGTTTGATCCTTTCTTAAGGAAATTGTATTACTATGAATTATATATTCAACATACATGTGTAATTTGTTCATCCCTCACCTTACCTTTCTTCTGTCCAGACTGTGAACTCCTCATCATAGGATCTATGCATTTTATCTACGTAAGCTTTCTAGTGTTTTGTACATAATATGTACTTAACAAAAATATATTTAAAGTCTATTATTGTTTTAACTATACAAAAAATAAAGAATAACAATTAACCAGGAAATTTAGCCTGGTGACACAGATAATACAAATCATAAACATTGTGGTTTTGTTTTGTTTTTCTTAATTTGCTAGAGGGCACATGCAAGCGCTTGCTAGAAAGAGACAGGGAAAGGAACCAGCAGATGGCATAATGGCTATGTCACTGGACTCCCATGCAGTTGACTGTGATTCAAGTCCCGGACCCGGTGGCTTAAACTCATGCTGGGCACATGTGTGTGTACACGCCCAAGACCCCAGGAGGAGAATGGAAGAGAAGGGATTGCCACGTGGCCATCCCCTCGGGGAGGGGGGTGATTTTTCACTTTTTGTCTCTCTCTCTCTCTGTCTTTTTGGCGAGCGTGAGCACGCTACAGCAAAAACCTCTCCAAAAAAAAAAAAGACAGGGGAAAAGTGAGAAAGCATCCCCACAGGGGATGGTTATGCTGCAATACCTTCTCCTTCATTTCTCCTTTTAGGATATTGGGCATGTAAGCACAAGTGTCTGGTATGTTTTTCAAGCTGCCAGGTTCAGAACTCAAACCACACGGTTGGCCAGGCACCTTAACCATCAGATCACTAGCTGGCCCAAGAAATGTTTTTCTACCCAGATAACTATGGATGAGAGTTCTGTTTGATCTATCAGTTACTCAGTGCTAGGGTAATCCTCTAAGACTTATATGTATCCTGCATAAAATAGATAGTATACACAAGTCCAGTTTCATCATGAGGGGACTATAATTAGGGATAGGAAGAACAATCTTGTGTAGGTAGTTTGAAATTACTAGTTACTAGGGAGGTCAATGCCTATCATGGAACTAAGCAACATTCCAAGGTTACTACCACCTAGGCAAATGGAGAGGCATTTTTTCCATGACAAATGAGGTTGAGTTCCTGCCACTCCCTCACATTTCCAACTATCAGAATTTCAAGTCTTACACAGGCCAATGAGATATGAGTATTCACTTACAATGCTGCATGCTGAAGCTACCCAAATAATTGTGATGGAGAAGTGAGAAAGTCTTTGTATTAAATCAGGCCACTTTAGGCCAGACTACAGTTTAGTAATTCCCATCTTATCTGTCAAGAAGCACAAATACATAGTAAAATTTGTTAGCCTTTTCTGCTGACAAAGTGAAGTATAGAAAGGATACTCTTGTGTAGAAAGGACACTCTGTACACTCATTTCTACAAATGTACTCACTCAACATTTGAGTTGACCTTTAGGCTGCACAAAAATAGCATGACCATTAGCAGCAGGGAGAACTCGATATGAGCCATGCCATTTGGCATGTCCTGAAAGCTAGTTTAAACCAGTTATGCGTGACCCTAGGGAATCAAGTATCTGTGTATCCCAGGGATATATGAGGGTGATCCCAGGATATCTACAGGGTTACTATGTCACTGGTTAATTCTAATCTACCCAAAATGTTTAGAATGACTTAAAAAAGAAGTATTGCATGAAAACCTAAATACACCGCTAAACCCAAACCTTGCTATGGACCTCTGCTATCAGCTATGAACAGGTTCTACCAGCCTGTACTCTAGGCATGCTGGAACACACATAAAAATGTGAGGGTACATCATGCTCTACAAGTGTCCCAGTGGAAACCACAGAATACCCCCTTATGATATAAGGAGATGCTCTAGGACCATCCTCTCCAAAAGCCCCCAAAGTGGTAAAAGATTTTAACTTGGAAAGAAACGTCAGTAATTTACATACCACTTAATATTCTCATCTTTAGTACCTACTCTACAACAAAAGAAAATATTTGCCATTTTCTTCCAAATTAGAATTCGTAAAAAAGTACTTTTAGATGATCTTTTTCCAACTCACATCTTGATTTCCTCAGTGTATAATCAGTCTTAACACAGAATACTAATATTTCCCAAGAAATTCTAGTTTTCTACTAGTGCACCTTATCTCAGGAAAAAAAAAGTAAAGCCTTGTTCATCAGAGTCTAAATTTTTTTTAAGAATTATTTTTATTTTTAATTTTATTTATTCATTCATGTATTTTAATTTGACCAGAGAGAGACACACAGAAAGAGAGAGAGAGAGAAAGCGAGTATGCAAGCTGCCAGGTCCAGAACTTGAACTGTGGTCAGTCATGTGGGAGTGTCCAGCTCCTTAACTACCACGCCACCTGCTGGTCCCCCAGAGTCTTCATGTAACAGCTCATTTCTGGATTTAGTTGGATAAAGTTGTCTTTAATGGATGACAAGTTGTTATTAGAAAATAGGACTTGAGAGCTAAGATACTAATAACTGTTCACTTTGTTGTTTTTGTGAGCACATTCAAATTTTTAATCTTACCTCAGCCATGATATTTTTGAGCTGCAGAATACAAAGAAATTTAGCTCACCAAATACTTGCATTTGCTTTCAAAATGTTTATGGCAGCCTCTGCAGCTCTATGTTTCGCCAGCTTCTTACTCGTGCCTTCACCTAAATTTTGTTAAAAATAAAAAAATATTTCCTGTAAAAATGTCTGGCTTACGAAAACATGTTCACAATACAAAACATCACTACAGGTTTTATATATACACACTAAGTAATAAAAACATAAAATGCAGTTATATGCTAAAAGTATTCATCATATGAAATCAATACATTAAAATATAATTAAAGAGGAGCCACCAGGTGGTGTGGTGGTTAGAGTGCTGGACTCCCACATGGCCAAGCACAGTTTGAGTCCCAGACCTGGCAGTTGGCTTTCTCACTTTCCTTCTCTCTCTCTCTCTCTCTCTCTCTCTGGTAGAGGACATGCCCTATGGCAAATTAAAAATTAATAATAAATAAAATTAAATAAAAAATAATTAAAGAATTCTAGGGGTCAGCAGATGGTGTCTCGGTTATGTCGCTGGATTCCCACAAGGCCAACCGTGGTTCGAGTCCTGGACTCAGTGGCTTCAAGCTCATGCCACGTGTGTGCGTGTGTGCCCAAGATCCCAGGAAGAGAAGGGATTGTGATGTGGCCATCCTCTCTGGGGGTGATTTTTCACTTTCCCTGTCTCTGTCTCTCTCCTGCGAGTGCATGCACTCTAAGACAAAAACCTTTCCTTTTTTTTTTTTAAGAAAAAGATGCTTTATGTATTTTGCATACCTATAAAAATCCTGGCTATTTCTACTCATATTACATATGTTTACTGCATTAAATAATAATAAAGTAGACTATGTCGCATCTGCTGAGAAACCCAACTTTGTATTTCATTCTTCCCTTATTCTGGAGAGAAATAAAATTTTTCTCCAACAAATAAGCTTCCCGGTTAAAGGAGTCACTTACAGCCGAACTTGCAGCAAAATGCACACTGTTTCATTCTGATGGCATCTCTTATACTGGATCAAACCTTTACAGTAGGCTAAGCTGCCACGACTCTCTGCTGGGCACAGTGGGAAGGGTATACATACAGAAGAAGATAACTTATGCCATTTATCTTTCATAAAATTGTATCCTTTACATGGGACGATAAGGAGGTGCTGGGGATAAGACTGCTGCCTAAATTTCAGTAAGCAATTACATCGGTAAATGGTAAATTCAATCTTTTTTTCCTTCTAATTTCATACAATGTCTTAAGAACGACCCTCAAGTGGCATAGGATGCATAGCCTTTTTTTTAGAATACATGTGGAAAGAGACACAGTGAGAGGGAAAGTGAGAAATTACTTTCCAGGGAGGATGGCCATGCTGAATCCCTGGGATTTGGAGCATGTGTGCACATGTGCCTGGAGTGATTTTCAAGTCGCTAGGTCTGGGACTCAAACTACAGTACCACGTAGGAGTCTAGTGCCTTAACCACCACGCCACCAGCTGGCCCCTATCCAATAACTTGATATTAGAATTATAGCAAGGAACTGAACACAGTCTCTGCCTCTGGAGCTGATAGCCTAGTGTGGGGTTTTGTCCGCTACTGGACATCTGATGTGCAAAAAGTTACACATTATAACAAGCCTAAGCACAGGTTGTAGGAAGGGAGCACACAAAAGTGGCTGCTCTTCTACCCTTGGTAAGCATTTAGGAAGGAAGAAATAAGTCAATGGAGACCTAAAAGATGAGTGAAAGCCAGCAAAATAAAGACACCAGGGGGATTTGGAAGAATATTTCAGGCAGATGAAAAGTACCTGCAAAGATTCACAGACAGCAGAGCATGATTCTGTTCTCAGGAGCCCAAGCATAAGAGTTTGAGGGCAAGAATTTAGAGATAAAAAGGTTAGAGAGCTGGGCCTTGGGGGAAGAGTTCAAAAAGTATAATAAGTGTTTTTCAAACTTCAGTGTACATGGGAATTTTGTTAAACCATATACTTTGATCCCACACATCTAGGACCAACAGATAGTCTGCATTTCCACCAAGTGCCCAGATTATAACAATGTTGCTATTGACTGTGGTTTAACAAGCAAGGTTCTGGGAACCAGCAGTTAGCATAATGGCTATGTCACTGGACTCCCATGTAGTTGACCGCAGTTCGTGTCCCGGACCTGGTGGCTTAAAACCCACGCCGGGCACGTGTGCATGCATGCCCAAGATCCCGAGAGGAGAATGGAGGAGAAGGGATTGCAGCGTGGCCATCCCCTCTGGGGGGGGGGATTTCTCGCTTTCTGTCTCTCTCTGTCTGTCTGGCAAGTGCACGCGCCCTATAGTGAAAAAGCTCTCAAAAAAAAAAAAAAAAAAAAGGCAAGGTTCTAAACTGTGTTTATCCAGAAAGTAAAGGAGAAACCTCTGAACAAATTTTTGTTTTTTAATATTTTTGCTATATGCCACATTCACTCACAAGAAACAGAGAAAGGGAAAGTAAGAAATCACCTTCCTGGTGGGGGGGAAGGGCCACACCGCAATCCCTTCTCCTCCATTTTCTTCTCAGGATTTTGGGTGTGCATGCGCACACCCATGTGCCCGGCTTGATTTTCAAGCTGCCAAATCCAGGACCTGAACCACCAACGGCCATGTGGGAGTCCAGCGCCTTCACCACCACACCATCGGCTGGCCTCCTGAGTGGATTTTAAGAGGAAGAAACATTTGAGTGCCACAAAACCACTTTAGTTGTCTTTTGGAGACCAGATGAATTATAAAATTGTAGTTATAATCCAAGTAAGAGATGACAGTGGCCTACATAATGGCAAAGGGAAGAACAAAAGCAGATTGATTCAACAGATATTTAGGATTAGGGTTTAATGACTGGATGGATGGAGGGAGGGGGACAGGAAACAGTTAAAATGAGAAAATCCCAATTTCTGAGCAACTGGGTAACTGTAGTACTTTTACAGAGAAGGGGAATGCAGGGGGAATGAGTTGGAGGGAAAAGATGAATTCAGCCGGGGATAATGAGAGACAGGTGCCTTTGCGTCACCTAAGCAAAGATACTCAGCAAGCACGGGCTTATCCACTGTTCCGTAACTGGGTCTGGGTTGAAGATCTTACGATTATTAACCTTGAGATAGTATCTGAAGTCATGTAGCCAGATAAGCTGGCATGGGAAGATAGGCAGTATGAGAAGGTCCTGGTTACAATATATGTAAGGGAAAAAGGCTTTTTCTTGAATTTTCACTGAAGACTTAAAAATTGACCTGGTGAAGTAATGTTGACCCTGTGCTTCACATGAGGAATCTGCTAGCCAGCACCTACAACCCACCTGCCTTACAGAGACAAAAATTTTCAAAAACATTTTTTTTCTCAAGAATCATGTATCGTATTATTTTAAAATTTGACCAGAGAGAGAGAGAGAGAACAAGGGAAAGTGAGAAAGCAAGACGCCAGGTCTGGGACTCAAAGTGTGATTGGTCATGTGGGAGTCCAGCGCCTTAACAACTATGCCACCTGCAGGCCCAAAATTTTCTTAAAGAGGGTCCAATGAAAATAGGACTCTCAATTTCCAAGAAGTATGAATAAATGATGCCTTTAGATCACCAGATGTTGGAACTTCTGCATTCTTACTAAATATTTTTCTTGGGCTTCTACCAAATTAAGTTCAGTATTCACTATTTTTTATTGGCAATGAAATAGGTATATAAGAAAATTAGTGTCCATATTTACAGACAGCTTCAGTGATTATTTAAGTTCATAGACCAAAATAAGGCTTGAGTCTAAACTCTGAAACTCCCTTGCCATATGAGTGAGAATTTTGAAAATTCATTGCTATGTGACCTTCAGTACAAGTTATTCATAATCTCTCTGAACTAAACAGTTTTCTCTTGTGAAAAAGGGGGATACAATCTTACAGCAAATATCTACCTTTTCAGTAAATAGAAACTGCTGTGCAAGGAGCCTTCTGTCTTCCTCATTTTGATTGGATAATCAAGAACCATACAGTAGACAAAAAGTGCCAAGGGAGTCCTCCATACAGAGAAGGGAGAAGCTCAGAAAATTCTGGGGTTACACCTCCTGGCATCTGCCATCATGTATGAAACTATGCAACTTGACAGCACTACTGACCCAGTTAGGACGCTCCAAGACTCTTTCTCACGTCTCCATAATTCTTAGAAGAACCCTAGGAACATTCTAGGGTAGGAGAGGAGCCTTGCGGAATGCCTGGATAACTTTTTAGTTTATGACCTTGTTGGTGGCTGGGGAAGAGAAAAGTAGGGATAAAGTTGGAAAAGTCCTAATAACTTTGAGATGAGAGGTCTGTTTCCGTGCTTGCTCCTCACAGGTATCCGTGGCAAAAAGGGCACTATTCCGAACTGAAAAGCAACTTATTAAGACTTGACCGCCAACCCCCAAGGTTATGCCAGTCACTGTGTATACCGACCTGTGCAGGTTACATCACCAACGGTTACTCTGAAGGTGAAAGTGGGCACCTGTACTTGCACATCGGACCTTTCGCATTCGTAAACTGGGATGTTCTTGGTCTTCATGCCATATTCGTGCAATACCTGAATTGGTGTTTTCCCTGGCTTAGCTGTTATCATCTTCCCCAGACTGCAAACAGAAAAAGGTGTGCTTTGCATGCTAAACCGACAGGGATGCAAAAGCATATAGAAGCCAATTTTGACCGCCACTAAGGGGGAGGCGCCATAGTGGCGGCCAGGGCTAGGGCTGGCGAGGCCTGAGCGCACCTGTCTCCCCGCTGCGGCAGTCACCAGGCAGGGGCGAGCTGGGTAAGGGAAGTCGTTAGAGAGACAACTTGAATTCGGGTAGCAGGTATTTTCAGGGGAACAGGAGGCCACGGAACCTCATTCTCTCAGGACCAAGCCCACGACCCCTTTCCAAGAGCAGAGACCTCCTACCACTCCAGCCCACTCAGCTCTTCTCCCCAAGCCACCAGAGGGGCGGGGCCCCGCCGCAGACCCCGGCCCAGCGCAGCTAAGAGGGCGGAGCCGAGAGCCCGCAGTCACAGGGGCGCCGGGAAGGGGCTTTACCCAGAATGCCGCGGGAGAGTCGGCTTTCTGGCCGCAGCGTTTGCTGCCCACCACTCCCGGCCCTGCGGCTCGATTGCCCCGGCGCTAACCTGAAGGTCCCGCTGTCCTCGCGCTCCAGCGGCGGGGCCTCGGCGCGATGCCTACTCTGAGACATGACGAGAAGGGGCGGCTTGGAGGCGGGAGGAATAACGGTGTAGAGCGACGTCCTTGCTCCCCGGGTCGGCGGGTCCCGGTGAGGAGCACTCCAGCGCCACAGCCTCCTCCAATTCCCCCCTCTCTACCCTGATTGCGTTCCTTCTACGAAGGGGGTGGGCGGGGGCAGAGGCGGGGCCTCGGCGCGGTAGTCCTGGCCACGCCCCCTCGCTGCTCCCGCTCTGGGCCCTGATCTGTTTGGCTCCGCCTTTGTTCCAGGCCCCGCCTCTTCTCCCTGCCCAGCTCCGGCCCTTGGCCCCGCCTTCGGCTCTCGGCCCCGCCCCTTTCCCCTGCCCCGCATCCAGACTCCGCCCCCTCGCTGTCCTGGCTCTTTCCAGCTTTCTCCCGCAGGTGCCCTCTCTGTCTGCTCCTGGCACCGCCTCTCTCTCTCTCTCTAAGGCCCTACCCCGCCAACCTTCCAGCTGTCCCCAGTTCTGGCCTTTACCCTGCTCTTGCTTTCTGTGGCTTCTCAGTACCGGGCCTCGCTGGCCCTTGCCCATCCTCGGTAACTCGGCTCTGCGCTGTTCTTTCTCCTTAGAAGGAGGCTGTTTCTTGCTGGGAAAAAAAGCTTGTCCGAGGTGGGCCTGGAATGCCTGAAGCTCAGCTCTTTTTTTGAGGGGAGGAGAGATTGGGGGCTGAGTCACTTTAAGAAAATTCCGAGTCCCCACCCGGCCTGTCCCGCGTTTTCAGTGCTCCAAGGGCTGCGGCGGGTTCTCCAGGTCCCCGAGCCCTGCTTGGTGGAGCAGGTGGGAACGTCCGGAGACTCCTCCTCTCTCGCCCTGCGGTTTCTTTGTCTATTCTAGGCATTGGTCGCGAGATGAGCGCTGACCCCTCGGATCCCAGCAAGGAATGTTAGGTATAAACAAAGGCCTTTCGGTGGTCCTGATACCGAGCAAACGCAGTTTCTGCAAACCTGTTGTCAGGTGTAATAGTATTTGGATGCCCAATTTTGGTGGAGGTCAGACAGTGACATTAGATGTCGTGTGGTCTCTAGTAGTTTGCTAGCTATTTGCAGAAATTCCTCCGGAGTATACTAGATGTTCTGGATGATTGCCTTACACAATTCTTTTTGCACAAAGGAACATTATTGTAATTTATTATTTGGTTGCATGTGACTCCTGTATACAAGCAAGTGAAAAGACGTTCAGAATCTTACTAAGTTAATTTCTATTATTTGAGGCTTAAGTTAAGCCTATTATCTCCTCTTTCCCCATGTATGTGTGTATCAATTACTATCCACCAGTATTACATCTTAATGAGTATCTCATTGAAAGGACCACATAGCCAATATTTCAAAATGTATTGATGTCTGCAGAACACCTGTGGCAATATTTTGGAACTTGGATTAGTTTCTAAAATTTATATCTAGCCACGTAACTACATAAAGCAAACCTGTAACATTATGTAGCTTTAAAAATAAGTTTGAGTAACCAGAGTAATAAACTGATAAAAAGAAAACAAATGCAGAACTCTGTTTCAAAGAGATGTCAGTATGCCCAGTTTCAGAGTAAGAGACCACCACATAATAGTTTATACACTGATTTATATGTAATGAGGATTTTAGTGTTTCACAAAAATCTACATGCAATTGTTTTCCATACTCTGTGAATATATACTTAATATTAACCACTTAGTTTTGTAATACAAAAGATGGAAAATGAAATGTTCAAACAATAAACCATATGCCATAAGGATTGGAAAGAGCACTTTTCTGTTGCCACAGTTGCATGATAGACTTGTGAAAGAACTCCCTTTGGTCTAGGTCCACTGGAGAGAGTATCCAATACTAACAAAAGCGCCTAATTGCATTGTTTCCCCTAGAACCGGATGCGTCCCTTGAAATTGCCCCATTGCTACTGGCTCATCATTGTGGTCCCGTAGGACATTAGTATATATTTAAATGACTAGTTTTCTGTTTATATGCTAGTGCTATAACTACCATACCAAATTAGACTTGCTTTTAGTATCATTTTACACTGTTGATCTATAATTTATTACCTGAGCACACAGGAGGAGGTAATGTTGTGAACTGTATACTGGCTAACTACTTGGAGAGACCATGCTTTGTATTTTCAAGGTGTATGGTTATATTTAAAATGAAACAAGACTTAATTTTATACCTGATTTTCTTCTTTGAAAATGGATTTGTTATCTGGGGGTTGTAGTTGATGACGTTTTGATATTAATATGTTTGCTGCTGCTACCAAGAGCTTTGTCAAACAGGTTGGGGATGGAGGGAAATTAGTTCCTGTTCCGAGCCTCAGTGAAGCTGACAAATACCAGCCTCTAAGTTTGGTGGTAAAAAAGAAGCGATGTTTTCTATTTCCTAGATATAAATTTACCTCAACACCTTTTACATTGAAAGATATTCTTCTAGGAGACAGAGAGATTTCAGCTGGTAAGTTTCAATATTTGTGAGTACTGATTTAGTATATTATTGGCAACGTAAATATAGGTGGCATATACTACTTACATTAGTAATGCTTACACATTTTCATTGATAAAAGCAACTTTTATTATGATGGTAAGTATAATAATATTAAGAAAAATAATAGCTAAAATTTATATAACACCAAATCTCTTCTTGGTTGAATAATTTTCAAACCTACTAATTATTTTATAAGTTGGTTTAACCAAATCAATATATTTCTTTATCTATAAAATGGAAAATTATTTGGCATACCTATCTCATATGGTCAGATGAAAGCATTTATTTTTGATGATTTAGTTATTACGATTGATCAAATAAAATATATTTTAAGGTTACATTATAAAATACATTAATATTTGACACATTCTTGCTTATGAACACTTATTTTTCTTTCAATCAGTTGGTGGGTCTTAATGTTTAAGAAATTTTGTTGACTGAATAGAGAATCTGAGTTCATTTTAAGTATTTTGGCCATTTGTTTCTTTTTGTTGTAAAATTCATTAAGTTGCTATTATTGATCCTTTATTTGAAGTGTTGTTTTTATATGAAACTTCGGTAATGATGTCTTCGATTGTAAGTGAACATGTACTATAATCTATGTAAGATGATTTTTGAGATATACAAAACATACTAAATTCTTTCTTTAAAGGTATTTCATCTTATCAACTACTGAATTATGAAGATGAATCAGATGTTTCTCTCTATGGAAGGAGAGGCAATCATATTGTGAATGACGTTGGAATTAATGTTACTGGATCAGATTCCATTGCAGTAAAAGCCTCATTTGGTGTAGTAACCAAGCATGAAGTAGAAGTATCAACATTACTCAAAGAAATTACTACACGGTCAATATAATAATCCTTATATACTTTAGTGTTATCATTAGTTTTAACTAAAATCTTCATTACAAAAAAGTATATAATGCATTTTCCTAATGCATTTTGTTTGACTTTCTTGAAATACTACAAATGAATAATATATAAATGTTGAATAAGGGTAGATATCTAGAAATCAATGGACTTAAACTAAATTTTGAATTGTTCCGTAAAAATCACTTCAGCTTTGCACACATTTGCTTGTTAGATTGGAGTAATATAGGAATCTGTTGACAACAAACTAAAAGAGTCCTCTCCGACAGATTCTCAACATCACTATATGCAAATTTTAAGAAAATGTGAGAGACATGATTAAACTTCTTTTGGGTATATTTTCTGATTTGTATTAGGCCTGCCTAAGTTTACTTTTAATTGCAGTGTAATATGAATGAATGACATATGATAGCAAAAAATGTACTGGATTACATGTAATTAGATTTTAAAGAATCTTGTGAATGTCTCTTCTTGCTTATAGAAAAATTAACTTTGATCACAGCTTGATCCGCCAGTCAAGGAGCAGCAGAAAGGCAGTGCTGTGTGTGGTCATGGAAAGCATTCGAACCACACGGCAGTGCTCACTGTCTGTGCATGCTGGAATTCGTGGGGAAGCAATGCGGGTAAACCACACTCTTACTAAACGTTGCTATGGGATTTTTTAAAAAGCACTCAATTTCTAATGAAATGTATGTTTTGTCAAATGTTGAGATGAAGGAGCTGCAATTATATAGGGTTTTTCACATTCATGACTTCATTTTGGAATGTGGAAAAAAATCCAAGAAAACTGACATAATGTAATGCAAGCAGAACACTCATCTTTGTGAAATAATGTATTGGTGTCCTTCCTGTTACTTCTTAAGTGCCATCTTAAGAATAAAAACTGGGTGGCTGAGTTGAATTCTTTGATTTTATTTTTAAGTGATCTGGTTCATACTTTGAATTTTTAACAGTTTAATTTATATTTTGCCTTAAAATAATTTTTCTAAACAACCATTATCAATGGCCAAACATGTTAATTCAATGTTAAATCTTTTTAGCAATACTAAAACTAACTTTCAGTACACTTAAGATATTGTTTATTCTTGTTGTTCAGTGACACCTAGTGATGACATGATTAGATTAAAACTAATGGTTAGAAAGATGGGGTTCAATGATAATCTTGTCTGCAAACCAAGGTTCTGTTCAGTACTTGTATTCAGCTGCCCACCAGATTCTGATTAACATTGCATCATTTGGGAGGCACAAATCCAAAACATTTGCTTGAGCGTTGGTACGTGCTTTGGAAAGCTGCTATAAGCTCTGGGAGCTTTGAACAGTAGACAGGCTAGGCTGAAAACTTCAACTCTAGCCCTTAAACATAGGTGCTCTCTAAGATTTGAATTTGAAAGCAAATGACTTCTACTCCCAAGCACATTACTGTTGTGGTAGCAGTAGTCATTGACTGCGATACCAAAGTGAAGAAGTGAGGAGATACTTTCTAATACAGATTGTGAGTCCTCCTTAGACCACCAGGATTTCCATTATAAATAGATTAATATGAGCAGGATAATTCTCCTTGGAGGGTTTTTGGTTGTTGGTTTTTGTTAGAATTATAGAAAATATTTTGTTTTTCCAAAATACTATTCTCATGTGTTATCTTCCTTAATATTATTATTTTATTTATCTATTTATAGTTTCATTTTATGGATGAGCAGAATCCCAGGGGAAGGGACAAAGCTATTGTATTTCCAGCACATACAACCATAGCTTTCAGTGTTTTTGAACTCTTTATTTACCTGGATGGTGCCTTTGGTGAGTGATTGATCTCCACGAAACATACATGCTCCTTCTCAGTGTCAGTAATTACAGAAGAGTCATGCTCTTAGCACTGACAGCCTTATGATTGGGTGAAGCAACTAGGAAAGCTCTCCTTTCTCTACTTAGCCAATACCTCTCTTCTGCTTTTTTGATCAAGGCTATAGATTCCCCATCACCCCATTTACAGTAATAGATGAGAGCTAAAATGCAGCACAGTCATGAAGTATTCCTTGACTTGTATGGGGAGATAACAAATGGTCTTCTAATAGGTAGTTTAGATGGTGGCAGAAGAAATGTAGGCAGTAAGATGCCTGAAGTATCAGGGCACCTAAACCAGGGAACCCAAAGACAGTTTTAGACTTTTTAGTTTACTTCAGTTGTATCTGTCATATACTTACTTTCCCCCTAGAAAATTAACTTTGGAAGTACAAATAGTTTCTCCAAAATAGTCATCTTATATATTGGGTCATCGGAAAAGTCATGACTTTTCCCAACGAACCATTATCTCTAATACCTCATTTCTGAGTCATTTTAGATTTCTACATTTTACAGATTTTTAGGGTTAGTTGGCTGGCTGGCACAAGTCCAAAGTAGCCCAGAGGACCAGGCATGGGAACCCCTTAGCTATGGCAATATGTATACATTTTTAGATCTACTTTTGTTCATTTTTGCAGTTCTGTGGGTGGAGGGGATAGGGAGTACAGAAACAAAACAAAACTACATGCTTAGTAAATCCTATTTGGAATACTTTAGGGGCAGATTTTTACAGTTTTATTACTTGTTGGGAGGAATATAAACCATATAACTTATACATGCATTGACATTTTAAATGTGTATGTATCAATACTTTTGCCTTAAACTAATTAGAAATTTATCCTACAGACATACTTACACATACATAAAATGATACGAGTACAAAGATATTCAGTTCCTAAGAGCAAAAGATTGGAAACTTTCTTAAGGGGACTCATTAAATAATGGTACATTCATACAGTAGAATACTATGATGCCATTAAGAATGAGTAACTCCTGTGAATATTCTCATGATTCTGAATCTGTAATAATCAGACAGGTTAACCGTTTGATATATTGAGAGCATGCATATGTCCCCAAACCTAGTTCTTTCCCTTTGTCTGGTTTTATAAATGCTGGTAATAGCCAGGTTTAAAAAAAAAAAAAAAAAAAAAAAAGAAATCAGTAAAGATCCTAACATGGAATAATCTCTGAATTATTTTAAAGAAATGTATATAGTATATAACTATTTGGGTATAAAAAATTGTACACATGTTCATATGTACACATTTCTTTTTGTTTGTAAAATATATGGAATATTTCTGGAAGCACACACAAGAACTATAGCAGTGCTTGTCTCTGGGATGGAAGGTTGGATGGGTTAAGGATGGGCTACAGACTTATGTGTCACTGTGCCACCCTTTTGTATTTTGAATTTCACACTCTGTGAATGTTATATAGAAACTATGTAAAATTTAAAAAAATACAGTTAATGACATGTACCAGAATTCATCATACCCATAAACAATAAAATATGAATCATTCAAGTTATAACATCTTTTAAAAATTTTTTTGTAGACCTTTGTGTCACTTCAGTGTCAAAAGGAGGATTTGAAAGGGAAGAAACAGCCACGTTTGCACTGTTCTACAGATTGAGAAATATACTATTTGAAAGAAGTATGTCCATTGAGAAGTATTTCAAATGTACTTTTTTTCTTCCTAAATTCACACATGAGGTTATCTATTAAGTAATCCCATGTGTTAAAAATAATAATTAAAAAAAAAAAGACAATTGAATTTAAAAGCCAAATCAGGCTGGCCCATGGTCTAGTGGTAAGGGAGCTGGATCCCACATGGCTGACCCCACAGTTGGAACCCTGGCTCTGGTGGCTTAAAAACCATGCTGGGCTCAAGTGCATACACACCCCAAGTCCTGATAAGATGGACAAATGGAAAAGGGATTGTGGCATGACCACATCCCATTGGAGGGTGCCTTCTCCCTTTCCCCTGTGTCTGTCTGTCTCTGGCAAGTGCATGAATCCTCGGGTAAATACAGTTTTTTAAAAAGCCAAATCATTTCATGACTTACGGTTTAAATTCACACATTTCTAAATGCAGTTTGGGCTACATGCTTTTTATTTTAAGTTCTAATATATTTCCATTTTTGTCCTTTTAGATAGAAGAGTGATGGATGCCATTTCTCGCTCACAGCTTTACTTGGATGATCTCTTTTCTGACTACTATGACAAACCTCTCAGCATGACTGATATTTCACTCAAAGAAGGCACTCATATCCGAGTTAACTTACTTAATCACAATATTCCCAAGGGGCCTTGCATCCTCTGTGGAATGGGGAACTTGAAAAGGGAGACGGTGTATGGGTGCTTTCAGTGTTCTGTCAATGGACAGAAGTATGTACGACTTCATGCAGTTCCTTGTTTTGATATTTGGCACAAGAGAATGAAATAAATGAAAAACGACTATACCTTGTTGGTGTTTTAGGTACAGTTGTGCCCAAAACTTCTCCTAAAGTATCTTAGGTTTGCTTTGATGAGTTAAATTATAAAGGAAAAAGAAAAGTAAATCAATCTGTCTAGGCTTCCTTTTCCCCATTTCTAAAGTGGTGATGATGATAATAGTGTCTATCTCATAAGCTGTCATTAAGATTAATAACATTGTATCAAAAAGGTTTTGATATAACGTGGAGAGTATAGATGTTTCATAAAATTTTCAGTCACTTTAGAATCATTTTTGGGGGACCAGCAGTTAGCATAATGGCTATGTCGCTGGACTCCCACGTAGTCGACCGCGGTTTACGTCCCGGACCCGGTGGCTTAAACTCATGCCGGGCGCATGTGTGTGCGTGCCCAAGATCCCGAGAGAATGGAGAAGAAGGGATTGCGGCATGGCCATTCCCCCTGGGGGGTGATTTCTCGCTTTCTATCTCTCTGTCTCTCTCTTTCTGGCAAGCGCACGTACCCTATAGCAAAAACCTCTCCAAAAAGAAAAAAAAAAAAGAATAATTTTTGGAATTTAGTCTATTATTTTATGTGACTTTTATATAACTAAGATTTTTCTAAATATCCATTTTATTTCTAATCAACTTTTAATTCAATATTCAGGTATGATAAGTGTGCACAAGTGGCAACTTTATGGCGCTTTAGCTATTGCCCTAAGTCTAGTAAAATGAGAAAATGCGTTAATAATTTAATGTAATCCTAAATGTTTAATTGCAGTATCAAATTAAGAGCACGTGGAGCTCAGCATGGAGTTTTGTACACACAGTTAATGGGGTAACGGGTGGTAGGAACAGGCTGCCACTCCGTGATGCCCCAGCTAGTTTTGTCTTTGGAGAGCTCACTATTGTCATTTTAAAGTTAAAGCTGATAGGACACATCTGTTTCTTCTTTGAAAATGTTTAAACTATTTAACCTTTAGTTCTGAGAAATCTTTTTCATCTAGTCTGGAAGACATCTGAATTTTCCATCATAAACAACCTAAATGATTAATTATCTACCTTTTATTAAAATAATTGCAAAAATGTTAAAATTCTAGAACTCAAAATGCAGGCAGAGTACTCAGTGCTAAGTATTTCGTAAAAGTTTTAATTATTTAAATGTGAATTGGTTTTAGAGTAATGACACACCTATTCATTTAACTGCATCTATATATACTTATTACTTTTTTTTAAGGTTTTTGCAATAGGGCACATGTGCTCGCCAGAGAGAGGGAAAGTGAGAACTCATCCCTCAGGGGAGAAAAGCATGCTACAGTCCCTTCTACTCCATTTTCCTCTTCAGATTTTAGGCATGCACACTGCAGTTGACCATGCTTGAATCTGGCACTTTAGTTATCACATCACCTGCTGGCCCCCATCTATACATTTTAAAAAACATAATGCTAAAAGCACATTGTATGAAAAATTATGGTACAGAAACATTAGACTTACAAAGTTTAGATGATAGGACAATTTCCATTACTTTTATTCCATTTTTGTTTTGGGCAGAGCACATTATTCAAATCAAATATGAATATATTGATCAAAAAAGGCTTTAGACATATTTCCAGAATTTACATTTTTTTAAATTTAAATTTATTTATTTACATTCATTTCCTATACATCATTACAGCTAACAAAATGAGATTTCCCATCCAGAATACACTGTATATTAGCTCAATCAAGCACATTAACATATGTGTTATCGTCAACAAATAATTTTCCATTTCTTGTTTCCTGTATATTTTGTTATTTTTCTCATCCTTGATTCCCTCTCGCCCTTTGCCGTGTCTCGCCCTCCTCCCACACTGTCTCCCGTATCCATGGTTGCTTTTTATGCATTTTCCCCCCATTTTATTTATTCACTAATGAACTTAATCTAAATATTTCCAATAGCAAGCACAGCTAATATATACATATCCATGAACACAAGTCTGACCTTAGGCATAAACCTCAGTGAGTAGAATGAACATACTATAAAGTAGCACGTAGCTGGGCCTATACAGCTTACCATGGTCATCAAATATGCATTTTTTTTAATTTCAAGAAAAATAGTTTTCATTTATTTTTTTCCTCCTGAAACTTTTTAAAAATTAATTTACATTCAACCCCTAAGCATTGTCACAGCATACAATAAGTGGTTTCCCATCCAGAATATACTGCATAGTGGCTTAATCATGTATGTTATCATTACTAATTTTCCATTTCTAGTTTTACATTTATTTATATTTACCCCTATGTCTGACCTTCTGCCCTTTCCCACCCTCTTCTCACACTATATCTGGTCTACAGTTGTCTTCTATTTTTCCCCCCACATTTTATTGATCACACAATTTCTTAAATAATCTACTTTCACTACTTTCAATAGCAAGTTCAACTGGTGATTTCAAGAATAGCAGTTTTGAATTGGTAAGGAAATTTGCTTAAAACTTAAATCCTGGAAACAGGATAGTATTCTGTTCAAATAGTAAGTACATGAACCTATTGACAGCTCAAGACAGGACAAAAACTCTTGGAACTGGACAACAAAACCTAGAAGAAAAGCAGTAATATTTCAGTCAAAAGTCACAGAATGCTATTTCACCAGTTCAGTCTCATGTACTTAATCTATCTTCTGTTGTGGTTTGATCTTCCCGATTGAATTCTGGGATATAATATTCAATTCCAGACTTGTTCCTATGATTAAGTTGGCCATTTTCTTAGTTTTTGAACTCTTATTTCTGTGTGAGTACATTTAATTTTCCTGACATAGCACTCTCTTGAGAACTTCTTGGAGATCTGGTCTGGTGCTGGTAAATTCTTTCAGGTTTTGTTTATCTGAGAATATTCTTATCTTTTCTTCCCATATGAAGGATAATCTTGCCGAGTACCATATTATCAGTTGAAATTGCTTTTCCCATAACACTTTGAATATATTTTCCCATTCTTTCCTTGCTCACATTCCTTCCGATGAGAGGTCTGCTGTTAGTCTGATGGAATGTCCTTTGTAAGAAACTTGCTGCTTCTCTCTTGCCAATCTTAGTATCTTGTCTTTGT